ACTTCCATCTGATATGTTTCTCTAGGTTGCAGTTAAATGCCTTGCTCATGCTCTGGGTTCTTCTTGCAGCTCTGTGAGCGGCTGCCTAGCCCAATGGGTGAATCTGCAGTTGATTGTAGTGGTTTGTCTTCCATGCCTAGTGTTTCCTTTACTATTGGTGGAAGAACATTTGATCTCACCCCTGAGCAGGTGAAGTATAATGTTTAGATATGCATATGTTGGTCTGACACTTATAGTTTACGTTTGACGATGTGTCTTGTGTTACCTCTCCCAGTCACTAAAGGATGCTAGAGCTTTTGCTTGTTACTCGTGCATTCAACCCACCTGATACTAAGAGTTCCACATAAATTTCTCAGTTTCTGCATGTGCACGATATTTGAAAATTTATCCTTTTCATATTGTGGTATTTCAAGTTATGAGCATGGTGGTCGCGCCCTGTCTTTACCGGTGATTTAGTTTATTGCATTACTGATATTTTTCTTTCTATTTTCTTGTTTGTTGGAAATCAGTATGTGCTCAAAGTAGGTGAGGGAGATGTTGCACAATGCATTAGTGGATTTACTGCTTTAGATGTCCCACCACCCCGCGGACCTCTCTGGTATAATTTTTGTTCAATTTTTTCTATCTTTTTGCTTTGGGTTTTGTTGGTGTCAAGATAATTGTGGTGGTAGATCTTTTGTTTCTCTAATGGCATTGGTGATGTCTGTTGATTACTTTTCTTGTTGGCAAGAGAGAGCAATTTGAAAGCCCTTGCTAATATTTGTTTTTCCGACAGGATCCTGGGGGATGTATTCATGGGTCACTACCATACCGTGTTCGACTATGGCAACGAGAGAATTGGGTTTGCAGAAGCTGCATAGATAATAGATATTAGCTTCTAATGTTCCGTTCGTGCTTGTTTTTTTATGTTGCCGAGTTTCAAACTATCCTATCTAGTACTGAAAGTAAGCTCCTGTGAATTATGTTTGTATGTACATATCAGGGCCTGCCCTTTATCCAATGTATTTTCAACATTGCACTTTAATTAAGAAAATGGATCCTTTCCGACAGTGTGTCTCAGCCTGCTATGAATTCAAATTCAAATGTCCTGTGTACTTTGGTGCAGCTTTAGTTCTTGTTTGGTCTTTTGAAATGTCTGATTGTTGGCTTAAGGTGGACATATAACGTATTGAGGACATGTACTAACTGCGCGCAAATATTTAACCTCCATGTGTTTAGTTCAGTGGGTGACCGGTCTTGTAAGCTATCCGCTCTAATCCAATTCTTCGTTTGGTGCCTAGGACTGGATTGGATTGCTCTAATCCAATTCTTCGTTTGTTGCCTAGGACGGGATTGGATTGTTGAAGGAGGAAATGAAGGTAGATGTGAATGATTTTTTATTTTGAGGATTAAGAGGGATAGGTTAAAAGATTTTAATATCCTGTTATTTGTGGGGACTATAGCACCAAACGCGGCCGTATTTATTTTGTGGTTATGGATTTGGTGTTCTGTTTATTCTTGTCTTGCCGCTGAGCTGACTAAAGATTTCGATGCAAAAGAAAAAGACAAAAGAGAAAAGGGTTTAGGAATTATGGACCGAATTTTTGTTATAATTTATAAAGAAAAGACTCAATAACGAATTTGGGGAAGTTGTGATGGTTAGGTAATGAAAGCCAAATTTGAATAGTGGGTAGGGATGTAGAAAACTTATGAGAGCATCAATTTCATGGATTGACAGAGCAGAGATTGGAAGCCAACTTACACAAGAACAAGATGATTGAGTTTGTTACAAGAAATTGAAGATGCCTATTTGTTAATATCGTAAAGATGCCAGTTCATCAAAATTTGTGTAAAACCAAGGGCTCTCCTAACTCTTATCCGAACTCTCACATAGAGTGGGCCATACATCGGTTGTACATGGTTTTATAAATTCACGGGACTCAAATCATATGAGAGAGTTGAGATAAAAGTTGGGATAACTCTGCGCCTCTCTCGTATTTCCCCGAAAATTTAAGCTCACAAATCATTGTGCGGATGTAGTTTTTCACATGGGCTGTCTGAATTTCCAGGAGTATGTAATCAAGGCTACACAGCAAGACATTGCTGTACTTCTTGCACATCTGGTAGCATTCATTTATAGTGGTGAAGTCTGACATCACAAGACTCATGGTAAGCTTGGTACACACTGTTTGGCAAAGGAAGCGTTATTGCTAGCTACAAAGTGATTTGGTTGCTTCTAGACCACGCAAAAATGTGACAAAAGATGCAGTCTCTTGTTTGATTATTATTATAAAAAAAATTAAAAAAAACTCTTTCATTGACTTAAAAGAATGAGATGGGGTGGAAATGCTGAATGTGAATGCAGCTTTGAGCATTTACATTTTGCCTAATTGAGCTGTCTTCATGATTCAAATGAGCAAAGTGCCCACCGATATCCAATACGTGTTTGGGCGGTTGGTCCTTTCATAAACAAAACTGATATAGAAAAAGGGGAAAGGAGACAGGTAAACGGGGAAGGCTTAGGTTGGCATGTGGGTCTCTAATTTTGAATTTTTCGACAAAATTAGCACGCGGGTGGAATATGTGAGGGTGAATTGGACTGCAAAGACACCTCAGATGTGCTCCTAACGCGCTAAATTTCGTGAAAATTCTGAAGAAAAAAAAAAGACAGAGAGAGAGAGTATGTTATTGTCTTAAATTGCAACAATTGATAAACCATATCCTAAGAACAAAAATTCAAACATTAGAAGTGTTGACGCCAAAAAGTGGTTCTTTGACTTAGAGGGTAAACTTAGTAAATTTGTGTCTTTGGTAGCCTTGATGCTTCGGTAGACTGTGCGATCTGCAATAAAAGCAAATGCACGGTAGGACCAAGGGCACCGGTGTGGTATCGGCCGAAGGCTCTCCGATGCTTAAGTAAGTTCGGGAATAGAAAGTTCAACTGACAGATCAATAGGCTTGTATGCCGTAAGTTCTGATTACCTCTATTTTGGGGTAGTTGGCATCCTTTTATAGGTCTTGGGAGGTGTGCATTTTGTTGATTATTTAGATGTGGGACTGTGGGCGTCGCTTGGGAGCGCGCCACGTGTCCCAGGAGAGGGCGTTGCTCTAATGGAGAGATCGGTAGGTAGGGTGCCGAGGGCGCCTCTGACCAAGCCCAATTTCCTCCACGTGTCTTGCCCTTATTGGCTGTTTATTTTGGGTGTAAACAAGAAGCTTCTTTATTGAACCTTTACATTTTGCCCAATTGACCTGCATTCAAGATTCAAATGAGCAAAGTGGGGCTGATCTCCAATGTGTGGGTTGGGCGGTTGGTCCTTTTTTCACAAACAAAACTGATTTAGAAAAAGGGAAAGGAGACAGGTAAATCGTAAATGGGTAAGGCTTGGTTTGGTATGTGGGTCTCTCTGGACTGTATGTGTGTGCACAGTGCTCTCATAGCTGTAAAGGAGAAAATGTTCAATGCTTGACCTGAGCTTGCAGTCAGAGTTGTCTGTTCACCGACACAATGGATCAATCACCTCCACCCTTGAATTTTATATTCAATTCTTTGATTTCCTTTCTTCACTTTTGTTCCACCAAGAAAAAGTATTTCAAGATTAGCAAAACCACCCTTTTATAGAGAAATTATTGTACTAGAGTACAATCATTTTGTATAACTTGTCCACGTAATTTATAATATGGATGAACGACAAGGTTGAAATATTGATAATTCTTATCCCGTATTGACCCAAGAGAACATTAAAAAAATAAATTAAGTTGAATTTAAAATATATATAGTTTGGTTAGATTAGAATTTCTACTTTAGTTGGCTTGACCTTAAATTCTTTTATTATGCACATTTTTAATAATGAATGAAATGAACCTAGTACTGTTGCAGTGCATGAATCTTCAATTTCACATTGGCAAGTATGGTGCTGATTTCGCTCTCAAGTTTCCACAAGGTCCTAAAACCACCCTTTTATAGAGAAATTATTGTATGGTACTAGAGTACAATCATTTTGTATAACTTGTCCACGTAATTTATAATATGGATGAACGACAAGGTTGAAATATTGATAATTCTTATCCCGTATTGACCCAAGAGAACATTAAAAAAATAAATTAAGTTGAATTTAAAATATATATAGTTTGGTTAGATTAGAATTTCTACTTTAGTTGGCTTGACCTTAAATTCTTTTATTATGCACATTTTTAATAATGAATGAAATGAACCTAGTACTGTTGCAGTGCATGAATCTTCAATTTCACATTGGCAAGTATGGTGCTGATTTCGCTCTCAAGTTTCCACAAGGTCCAAAAAAAAACATTGTTAGCGTTGAATTAGGGTCATAACCAACACCATTGAAGAAAGCAACTCCCTCTAATTCCTCTTGGTAGAAATTATTATAGAAACTTTACACATTTAGACAAACGCTTACATCAAATCGTAGAGTTAAACAAATCTTAAACCTACATCGATCGAGAATCGTTCGCACACATGAACAACGGGACAAAACTGATAGATTTAGTTTACTAATCACAAACTTAAGAAAAGTACGTTGATTATACTTTGTTTGCCGTGTAAAGTGTGAACTCATTCTCCCATTTAGTAAGTTTTGTACAAAGAACAGTTCTATTCACACTAATGAATAAATATTCAAAAACCGCGTTGAAGGACAATGCATCTATGATCAATCAATCTTCTAGATTTTAAAGTGCTTTTTGGCGCCGCAAAATCACTTCTCCAAATGCAAGGCATATTCCCCATAATCTCCTCTTAAATTTAAAGCCCACAATCTTGGGCATGTGGCTTCATGTGTCGCCATGTGGGTGGCTTTATTGGAAGCCTAAGTAACTGCGCTCCTAGACGGCCAGAGCTGTCAAACTCTCTCTCCTTTTGCCACGTGGCTAGATTTAAAGAGGATTAACAGGTAACATTGAGCAGGAAATTAAGAACCTTATTTTATGCTTTGGTTTTACTTTCTGGAACGCCATAAAAATCAACCCAACTAGCCCCCAAGTCGCATATAAATATTGTACATTTCGTAGCACCATTCCAAAAACTCAAACCCCACCAACCTCTCTCATATTTTTCTTCTTTGTGCTCTATGCCATGGAGCACTGGACCAGAGGACCGACCATTGGCCGTGGCTCCACCGCCACTGTCTCCCTTGCCACCGCTGCCCTGTCCGGGGAACTATTCGCTGTAAAGTCCACCGAGCTCTCCTGCTCATCTTTCTTGCAGAAAGAACAATGTTTTTTGTCCAACCTGAGTTGTCCAAATATAGTTAAGTACTTGGGCTGCAATGTTAGCATTGAAAACAATAGGCCTATGTACAATCTTCTCATGGAGTACGTGCCCGGTGGCACGCTTTTCGATACAATCCGAAGGCATGGAGGACCGCTAGAGGAGCCCGCGATTCAATTATACACGCATCAGATTGTGCAAGGATTGGAGTATCTTCGTGTGAATGGATTGGTACATTGTGACATTAAGAGCCACAACATTTTGGTAGCTGAAGAGTGTGTCAAAATTGCTGATCTGGGTTGTGCTAAATCGGTACAAGGAGTTGCAGGGGATGAAGACTCTGCCACCTCAAGTACTATAATTTCAGGCACACCGGTGTTCATGGCGCCAGAGGTTGCACGTGGAGAAGAGCAGGGGTTTGAAGCAGACATATGGGCTCTTGGATGCACAATCATTGAAATGGCCACTGGTGATGGCCCTTGGCCGGAGCTTAATGACCCAGTTTCAGCTCTTTATCGGATTGGATTCTCCGGTGACTTGCCGGAGATTCCAACCCGGCTTTCGAACAAGGGTAAGGATTTCTTGAACAAGTGTTTGAGAAGAGACCCAAGAGAGAGGTGGACAGCTAAGCAACTTCTTGAACATCCATTTCTTGAAGAGTGCTGCTTGGGGTCTAAAACAGAACAAGTGAAGGAATTCAACTTCACTACGAGGTCTCCTATTAGCGTGTTGGATCAAGGCCCTTGGGATTCACTTGAAGCCTTTGAAAGTCCAAAGGAACAATCTGTTGTTGAAGGTGTTTGTTTGAATTCTCCACTGGAAAGGATCAAGAGGTTGATTGGAGGCACTTGTTCTGCATTTTCAAATGCACCCAATTGGGAATTTGATGAAAATTGGTCCACTGTTAGAAGCAATGGCATTGAGGAAAGCCAAAACTCAGGGACAAGCAACAATGTCATCTCAGTTGACGAACCTGTGGCTGCAACTTCACCAAATGTGGCTTTAACTTATCATGAAGAGCTTGACAGTTCATTGTGTGATGAGGATGATGAGAGAAGTTTTTTTATGGCATTTAGTTTAACAGAAGATTCTTTTGTACCAAACAATCTTGAAATTGAATCAGATAATCAGAATTTTCACTTTATTCACTCCCATTGTTGTCATTCAGGTTTTAATTTGGCAGGCCAAGTAGAACCAGTGAAGGTTAAGTTTCTGTCATTTGTTTTCTATTTTGTGTTTGTTTTTGTACCAAGGGCTGCAACTTTTGAATTAATTAAACAAGGTTATATGACATATCAATCTCTCTATCAGGTTCCAAAACTGTGGTTTTTTGTTTCTTTGCCAAAGTTAGGACCGAGGAGGGTTTTCTCACACACACATTGTCAATGTGTCATAGGAGTTCGAACTTAAGGTCACTGATTTACAAGTCAGGGCCCTTTTCTCGTTGACACCAAAACCGAGAGGGGGCTATCTCTTGTGTTAGCCAAAAGGAGAAAGAAAACCAGCTGTCTCTCAAGTCTTGTGCATGTACTTCGTATGCTGCAAGCTATTTTTTTTTGTCTTTGGTTTTGATTTTTTGTTTTTGTTTATAACCCCAATCATTTATCTTAGAGAGCTTTGCATTATTTTATTTGCGCCAAAGCTTTGCAAGCTAGGCCAGCCTTTTTGTTTGCATGATTGCCAACATATGTGCTTCAATAAAATAAATCGTGTGGTTGCATGTTTTTTCTTTTTCCCAATATTTTCTGCTCTTGACGACAATATCATGTGGGCATTAGGGTTTCACTGACATCCATGTGAAGGGTTAAATATGCATTGGCCTCCATCCATTTACAGTCTGTGAAATACTGTGCTCTGCGTTCTCATTTTCCTTTAGGAACTTTTTCAACTTTGTTCCTTTCCCTTTATCCAGTAGGGGCAATGGCCTAATTGGACCGCAGGCTAGGGGAGATTATTCAAGTCTCGTATATTGACTTGACACCAAAGTCAATTTAGATAATTTAGATAATTGAGAGGTTTAATCTTTCTTTGCCCTCTGGTTGTGAACAAGAGAGACTTTTGCTAGGCAACTTGGAGGGGTCAACAAGTTTGTTGCCTCTCTGCGAAGTCAATCTTGGGTAGGTGCATGCTCAACTTGAGAAATGGTAGATGTGAATACTTCTGTTCAGATTAATTTATGTGTACTTTTCATATCAATTTAATAATTGATGTGTACTTTGTCATCTCGGCGGGTGGGTTAATTATATTCAAATCGAGCAATGTTAGGAATTTTTTCTTTTTTACAATGATAACTTGCATTTAAGAAACCAACATAACATCAACAATTAGAATGGGGGACAATCAATCAAGACCATCGTCTTCCATCCAAACTATAAGATCCAAAATAAAAATATAGCAAAACGTGATGCCTGATACAAGTACTATTGAGAGTGTTTTTCTCACATTGAAAATGACCTAGTTTGGGTATATAAGGAGTTGGGCTACTCTCGAAACTGACCAATTCATATATGATTTCAGGTTACAATAAGAGTGATCATGTGCTTATAAACTTAGTAATATTCCATTCATTCATTTTCCAGGTTGTTGAATTGTATTTACTTCTAATGGATAACATATTCTCATGTGGATGTGGTGACTGAAATTGAAGAATTATTTTAGAAACTTTAGTATATTATTGAATTGGTGTGACCTAATTTCTTTGGCATGTAGAGAAGCGGCGGTGAAACGAATGTGGTCTGATCCGCAAGGGAAGGGAAATGGGAAGGGCAGATAGATAGACTTTAAACAAAGTCAACTAATTTTAAAACGTCAACTTGTCTCCATTGCATGAATGAATTAATCTTAAACCAGAAGAAGACTTGGAAGAGGTAACTGGAGGAGTCAACACGTTGGGTTTTTCGTTTTTTCCTCATCTTTTTCTTCCCCTCTTCGTGTTATTGAAAGGTCAACTAAAAGATGCCATCATCCTAACGTAATTGTGAATCATCAAAAATTTTGTACTCAAAGGTTTCTTGTATACATCCCATAAAGTTTGGCCATTGGAGCTTTTAGCTACTTCTACCCTTTCAATTCAGCACCATCTATTTGAACACCATTGAAACGAGAAAAACTTACATATAGTGAGGTGTATATCTCTCTCTCTCTATCTTTCTTCCTACACGAGGAGATAGAGAGAATTTATTATACACTTCATTGGTTAAGTTTTTCTCCCTCTATTGCGAAATGCTTAACCACTCCATGATGAAATACTCTCATGCCCAACTCACACGATGTACGGGTTGGATGACAACACAGGGCGTCCTATAAAACCTTTTATCCCAAGAATAATAGTAGTAAAAAAAAAGTCAATTTTATGTGTGTAACTAGTGCTTTTTAGGCTTTTCTCTTTATTTTGAGAACTTTTACTTAAACTAACTTAAGCTTGGAACTTTTATTTTAATTTGCATTCAAAATGAGATTAAGTGTTGAACATAAAATGACTCTACTTTTATTTCTGCATAGGGCCTCCAAAACTAATATTGATAGTTGGCTTGTTTGGAACGAGCAATCATATGTGATTAGGCTAAAACTCTCATGGCCAAGAAGTAAAATAACAATTTTTTTTTTAAGTTTACAAAATTTTGATAAATTTAATTCTTTTCTTTCCTTTTGTTTATTTTTGTTAAACAATATCCTTACAGTTAGGAATTCGGATCTAACACACGAGAAGCACATGACCTTACTAAGCTGCTTTTCACGTGGTTTCCTCCCCAGTGAAGTATAAATTATAATAATTTATGGTAGAAGAAGTTGACGGCAAATCTTTGTATAGTGAGCCAGGTCGGACCGAATTCCGCACGGGCCAAACATGGAGCGAACCTCTATGCACGGGGCTAAGGCGAGGTTGGGCTTAGGGTCAATTTTGATTTTGGGTCTCAGAAGTTACGCTCAATTTAAAATGACTAATAATAGTTGAATTAGGTCTGGGTATGGATTAGGTTGGGTTGAGTCCGTTTTGATCTCAACTCGCAACTCAACTCAAATATACCAAAATTCGCTCGTTATTAGGTGAACTCAAACAAACCCAACCCTTTTGTGATTAGGTTAGGCGGTTTGGTCTAATTCACTTAAATTTATACTCATGCTTAGATTTTTTTCCCAATCAGCAACCCAACCCATACATAGAGGTTTATGATTTCTTGGACCCAAGACCCACTCGTTATTAGGCCAACCTAAACAAACCCAATTATATTGTGATTGGGTCAATTGATTTGATCGGGTTGACCCTGAAATTGTGTCAAACCCTAGGTTGAATTGAATCTTTCCTTTCGAGAAATACTTCATTTTGGTTCTATGATTTCTTGGACCCAAGACCCACTCGTTATTAGGCCAACCTAAACAAACCCAATTATATTGTGATTGGGTCAATTGATTTGATCGGGTTGACCCTGAAATTGTGTCAAACCCTAGGTTGAATTGAATCTTTCCTTTCGAGAAATACTTCATTTTGGTTCTTCCTATCACGTGATAGTACAGTCTAGTTAAAGTCATTGAATTTGAAAGCTCATAACTTGTTACTAAATTTGAATCAGGATTGTATTGCTCAACACTACCACATCACATGAACAACTCACTAAAGTTTTTCTCATTCTTAAAATGATGGGGCTTGTGTGTCTTTTGTTGTTTCATATGCCATGTAATTATGGTTCTTATTCTTGTATTTCTACTTCTTCTTTCTCATATAACGTCTTTGTAATTGTTTAACTAATTAAGTGGTGAAGAGTATTTATCTCTATACTTAGAGATTTGAGTGTGATTGTACTTTCCACATGACACCGCTAAGTGACATTACAGCCCAATATAATAAGGGCATCTACCCAAATTTACTGACAAAATTTAATTTTTTAAGCACATGTTCTTTTTTAACTGGACTATATTTTCACTCCCCGCCTAGCTAGAATACCAAAAAATATTTTCACTAAAAACACCCATCTTGCTTCTAGTAATGTATTTTTGGTATTTTAGTTTAATGAAACTACTATATTTAAAAAGAAAATACAAGTGAAGAAATATCTTATTTTATTTTTTTGTTATACCATAATTATATACAAAGAAAAATGAGCCTCATTTTAATTTTTTTACTCTGGGGTCACTCAAAAGTCAAGGTCAACCTTGCTAGTATGACCCTATATATATACACACACTCCTATGCGAACATCTGAATGTTATTACCGTGCGTATGATATGTATTTTCTACTTCCCCTCCCTACTTTCCTCTCACCACACATTGTTTTTTAATGATCCAAACCGTCTAATTTTTAGATATTCCCTCAAAGAAAATAAATAGTATAGCCAAGCGTGAAATTGGTACTTAGGTGGATGGGGTAAATTAAAACCCCAATGGACAGATCTAAGACAACAATGATTAATTGTTCCTAGTAACAATATGACTAGTCAATTACTAGTCATAGACCTATGAACAAACAAGCCCAGCATAGATTCATCATAAATCAAATATAAGAACCTGCAAGTCTAATAGATAACTATGTGACAACCTAGGTACTCAGAAGGATCCATCAATCTAGGCATCCTTTGTGCTAGCAACAAGTAGAGTGAAAGGTGTGTGAACATTCATCAACATTTTAGAGATAATATATACAGTATGGCTAGTCATAAAATCAAGAACAACACACCATAAATGTTCACCCAGAAACCCACCATTGGGAAAAACTGGGGGTCATCACTCCGACCAGGCAATCCACTAAGTCAAGAAGATTCTTACAGAAAAAGTAACCATAGCTCAAACAATCCTAGGTCTATTTAGGAAATAAACACTACCTCCCTGTGCAACCTTCTTCTCCAAACTTAGTTAAGCTAGTAGCTTGTCCTTTGTGGAAATGGTAGCTAGTCCACCAGTTTCTTCACCCCATGGCACCATAACTCAGCTCCAGATTGTCACAAATGAATAAAATATAGATTCTGAGATGAAAAGGTCAGTTCCTTCAAGAAACCATACTCTTGAAAAAATCAACTAAGAATCTAATCTAGACTAAAGAAGATGACTAGTCATAATAACCCAGATGCAGACTCAAGAAGATGACTAGTCATAACTGAACCCATATGCAGATTTTAAAAACACATAATATTTCAAAGAATAAATTTCAAAATCTCATAATGAAAACTCATACCTCACCAAGTAGAGAATGTAGAGTAGAAGTTTTACTCTTAAAAATTCTCAATGGGTGAAGTAGGTTTCAAAGATAGAAGTAGATTTCAAAAATGATTTGAAAACCTCATTTCAAAAACCATGAACACTCTCACACAAACCAAAGAGAAAACCAGGTTTTCCAAAATGGTGCAAATGAAAGGGATGGGAGATGAAAACTTTGATGTGCAAAGCTATGGTCAGATTTTCTCAAAAAGAAGTAGCGTTCAAAATAAAATCTTGAAATCTCATTTCTATGCTATGAACACTCTCAAACAAGCCAAAGAAAAAACTAAGTTTTCCAAAATGGTGATGAGAGGTGAAAATGAAAGTGATGAGAGATGAAAACTTTGTATCACTAAACAAAAGTTTGAGAAATGAAATTTTTTTTTAAAAAAAAGGCCCCAAAAGGAATTCAAGAACCCATGAACTCTTCTCCCAAAAATCACAACCTAATTGATGCACAATCTCTCCCTACAACTCTCTCTCTCTCTCTCTAAAACCCACATGAAAAATGTAAAATGAAAGAGTTAATGGGTCCAGAACATCCCCAACCATTTTGGTAGGTCAAAAGGACACCTGGCAGCCATTGATTGGACTTATAATAAGCAAAATCACGTGCCTTGGTTAAAAATCTCGTGCTGGAAATATGAATAGTCATCTCGACAAAGTATATAGATGCAAATGCTGATTTTCCTAATGACGCCCATTATAAATGAATGCACAAATTACCTTAGTTTTGTAGCCTCATAAGCTCTTCAATGTACTTCAACTTTGTAGCAAATAATCAATGCCTAATTTCTAAAGATGAGCTAAGAGGAATTACATGAAAGTGTACATTGGCAAGGAAAGCCAATTCTAACAATCCTAAAATTGACAAAGCAGCAACAATACTATTTAAATATAATATTATCAAAGAGTATAGCTGCAAATAAAAAAACCTCACACTACCGGTCCTAACCTCCACTTCACTTTCATTCAAAGCCCAGAACAACTTCCTCTTACTACGATACCCATAAACCTTTGTTTGAAATTGTTGTTCTAGTTAGCAAAGAGATTGCAAAATCAACATCTTGCATTTTTGTTACAACAAGTAAGAAATAATCTTAGTGAATTTTATTTCGTCAAAATTTTGGCAAGTTACAACTGAAAAGTTTAGTCACTATACTATATTTTTATTTAATTTATTTAATATATATTATTTTTATTCAATAATATGTGAGAATTATATGTATAATATGTGAATTTGTGTGTATTATTGATTTTTTTTAAACACGTGTATTAAACATGAAAAATACGTATATTGTACTTTTTATATATTAAAAAACGTGTATTTTAGCGAGTCTTTAAGACGTGTACCGAAAATAAAAATATTATTGAAAAATACATATGTACGTGCATAACACGGGTATTAAACGGAAAAATGCTAAATTCTTTATACGGGTAAAAAATTTAGAAAAGTAAAAAGTAAAAATGAGATAATAGAGACTCGGGTAATAGCCTAATAGTAATGGATAATGCTCTAAACTACTCCTATCGATAAACAAAAATAGAAAATTAAAAGGAAAAAGGGGTATTTAAAGTGTATAGCCGCTCGGCTATACGACTCTTTAAATATAATATTTTCAGAACTATAGCCGGGCGGCTATACTTGGGGTTATTTTAATTATATTTTTAAAATATAATATTTATTATAAATAAATAAATAAATAAAACCCTCACATTATTACTCCTAACCTTCACTTCACTTTCATTCAAACCCCAGAACAACTCTCTCTTACTACAATGCCCATAAATCTTTGTTTGAAATTGTTGTTCTGATTGACAAAGAGAATGCAAACTCACGATCTTGCATTTTTGTTACAACAAGTAAGAAATAA